ACAAAAGAGGAGAGTAATAAAGAAAGTTAAGGAATTTACTTACCCTTGTGATCGGAGTACTTGATTCCGGCATCGTACAATTCGTTTAGCTCAGTGTCGTCCTTTATCTTCTCACAACGATAACCCATTCCCTCAAGAGCTGATTTGATATTCGAGTAAATCAAATCAGGATTGATATCGTTAGGGATTGGGTAACCGTCGATGTTCCAGAAGACGCATGTGTAAGAAACTGCGAACGCATAAATCGATTACGAAATCGAATTACAACAGGATTAGAGATATCCATTATTAGTTCACATATATGACATTGCGCTAGTTAACTACTTACCGGAGATTTCTTCTGTTGGTATGACGAAGTGGGGGTTTCTGCTTCGCAAGCGGATCAAGTCTCCGAAGGTCATGTTTTCGAAGGTGAGGTCGTCCATGGTTTCGACGCGAGACTTTTTCTCTCTTCGGGAGAAGAACAAAGGGAAAGTAAGAAATTAGGGATGCAAAAGGTTGTTGGGCTTTCCTTTTTATATGCGGAGCTGATCTGTGCCTTGTTTTCCACCGTTGGACATATACCGTTTCTCAAGTTTATTTTCCAAATAGAATTAGGTTTCATAATGCAATTAGACTTTAGTATTATAGTGAATCCAGCCTCAAAATTACCAATTATAAATATGGGTTTTCTAGATTGAGTACTTAATTTCTTCTCTAAACCTAAAACCTAATCTGCTCTTCCTATACTATATCTTAGACACTTTAAAATCAAAGATAGACTAACTTACTAAGATGGATATTACTTTCGTTACATTTATAGTCCTCGCTTGCTTTGCTGTGATTCTTCTCGTATGTTTTTGCGTCTCTGGTTGCAACAATTGGGAAGAGGAGAAAAATCTGTCCGATGCCGTTGACCTGGAAAATAGTCAAACGAGAACAAAAGATGTTCCAAGTTTGACCAGCTCTGGCCATCATCCATCATCATCATCATGATAATAGTGACGGTCATCATTATTTGTTCGATGTTGTAGTTTGTGTTCTTGCTTGTTGATTTATTTACATACTAGTAGTTTACAAAACATTAATTTTTTTTTTTTCTTCCGTATATCTAATTGTTAGCTAAGAGATTTAGAGAAAAAAACGCAGAAAAAAAAATGGAGCAAATTGTTTTTGATTTCTATTTGGAGAACTAGACAAATTTTTCTTTGCGTTGATACAATACAACTCAATATTTTGAACGTCGAGAGAGGTTTCTCAACACTATAAGAAGGTTTCTTTACGTACTCTACAAGCAACAAAGATACAAATCAAGAAATATAAAACACTTCATTTTTAAAATCAAAACAGAGTAGTTTGGCGACCGATTCTTCTCGGTAAACCAAAATTTTGATAAGATCGGATCTCACCATGAACTGTAGCCGTCACAATCACCATCCCCCAAGCCGTTGGCTGTATAGTTTGCGGACCATGACCTCCACTGTCGAACCATGACCAAGAAGATAACCTTGACGATGTGTTTATCGATGGAGATTCCCCAAACCTCGATGAATGCTGCTCTGAACCGTTCATACTTGACCGAAACGACTCACTGCTTCCCAGCTCCGGTCCTGCCTCTTCCTCTGGTTGAATCTGACTCTTCGTAGCGGCTTTCTTAGGCATAGGAGGTAACCCTGATTTTTTATTGCGGTTAGATGTAGTTGGTGCAGCCGCCGAGGTTTCTTCTCTTGTTGGTGAGCCTATGGTGGATGAAGGCTGGCTAGAAGTGGATATGCGCTTTGAGTGGCGTTTAGAATGAATCTGAACTGGTGGTGGCTCACCTCTAACATGACCGTGCCAAGGAACAGCGGCTGAGACATCTTTGCAATGAAAGTGTTCGTGAGATTGTGTCGTGAGTGTTGATCTTGTTCGTTGAAAGTCATTCTTCCATAAGTAAACCTGAGAGTCTTCACTTGCACATATTATGTATTTCCCATCTTGGCTATAGGAAGCAGAGAGTTGGCTACACGTGTTTCTAAAGCCTGTCGACAAAATGTATTAGATTTGTTTGTGTTGCTTATGTTGTTTGCTTGTATCAAGTGCTTGTAGAGAATTTACCTTTGAATTTGTGAATAACTTCAGAACCGTCTAATATTCGAATCCGTGAATCAGCGGATGTGACAAGAACTTCGGATGGATTCACCGGGGAAAACTATATAATGCATCAACAATTTGTTAACATTTAATGGTGTTTACTAAAAGTCTTAAGAAGGATTTAGGCTTTTAAAGAAAGGAACCTGAAAACTAGTGATCTTCCTTTTCGCTTGCGATTTCTTATTGCTCTGAACATCAATCTGACTAGTTTGGCTCAGCTTACAATCTGTTCTACAGAAGAAAAAAGCGCGTAGCAATGAAAAAGAGTATTCAACTAGGAAATGGTGTTTGAATCAGAAAGAGCTTAGGAAAGAACCTTCTGTATCGTAAGCACGACAAATTCCTTTATGTGAACCGATAAGTGCACCCTTCAATCGAAAAAAAAAAAATCTTCCATCATTACAAAAACCGCAATGGATTGGATTTTGCAGACTACTCCAATAAACAGATGAAAAAAACAGAGCAAATACCTGACCGTCTGGAGTGTAGCAAGCAGCAGTAACCATTTCATGAAGATCACTCCATTCCACAACATGTCGATCTTGTATGCTCCATATCCTTATCTTAGCGTCAAGTGAACCACTTAAGAAATAATTTTCATCCACTGGGCTAAACTGGATACATGTCACTGATGAATCAATAGGACAAATAAGGTCAAAAGAGTAATGCAGCAAATTATAGCTAGATGCGAAGAACTAGTTACAAAAGATGTGTATCTCACCGTAGTCATTATGAGCAAACAATTTGAGACATGTTTTGGTTTCTAGATCCCATAACCTGACTGTTTTGTCCATGGAAGATGAAAGAAGAAGCTGAGATTTGGACCATGACAGATCCAAAATAGCATCCAAATGACCTTTCAAAGAGCAAACAGGCTTATCAGAAAAGGAGAAGACGGTTTCAGGAACATGGACGTAATCCGGAATATGATTGTTTCGTCTTCCCGAAGAGCCTTTTCCTTTCCTTTTCTTCTCTACCACAGTTATCTCATTTCCAGCAGAGTCACAAAGTGAAGGATGAATAGGAGTGAGACTCCCTTCATTCATAGACATTAGTTCACATTCTTGAACCTCCCATACATGAATGACTCTATCCGCTCCTCCGCTCGCTAGATAATGAGCATCTTGACTAAATTTGATAGTCCAAACCGCACCCTCATGAGCTTGAATCTCTTGACACATATGCAAAGCACTTAATTCCTTGTAAGATTTCCCTGTTGGTCTAACTTTCACCCACTCATTAGCTTTACCATGCTTATGATCTTTCCCCTTTTTCGGACTATCGGTGCTTCCATCGCTTACATCTTTATCCGCAACCCGTAAACTCATGGAATGAGCTACACCTTTTATGTTCTTCAACAATGCAGCACCCCTTCTCTTACTTAACCTCACGCTTTTCGAAAGATACGAATTAAACTTCCGAAGATCCATTAACGGTTCGTAGTTAATCCTATTCACATTCTCTCTACGCATAAGCTCTTTAACCACAGGTGAATAACCAACACATTTCTCAAATTCCTCCAAAGTTAGTTGCTTCCCTGTTTGCAAATCACTAAGCCTATTCCACATTCCATCTTCATCATACTCATTCACTATAAACTCTTTCCCTGTATCAAGATTCTTAATCAAGAAAAACGCACCAAGCCTCGCATTCGACATAACCGATGTCAACGCATCCGAACCACCACCGCGCAAAGCTTTTCCATTTCGACAAACCGCAGGCGATTGCCTGATCGGTGTTTGGTACTGACAAATCCTTGTCCTTGTAACTCCAATTGTCGAATACGTTCTCGTAAGACGCTGCTTCGAGATCTTCCCTAAAATCTCTTCTTTTCTTCGTTTCTCAATCAAGAACCTCTCAATATCTGATTCCGATCTCGACCTAGCAAGCATAACCGGAACATGATCATGATCTTGAGGAATCTCCGATTCATCATCAACTTCACCATTCATAATCTTCTTCTTCATCTTCTTATCTTCACCATTAGTAACAATAGCCGCGTTAGAAACAACACGACGAATAGAAACAGCACTAACCATATCTTTATTACTAACAAGCCCCATCCCATGGAGAAGACGACGACGACGCTCAGATATTGATCCCGGAGCAGCCATCCAAATATCGTAATCAGGAGACATCGCCGGCGTACGAAATTTCCTTGACGCGGTGGTTAACGAAGAAACGGCAGAGGAAAACGAGAGACGGCAATCGTCGAAATCTTCATCTTCATCGGAAGAAGAAGCAGCAGACATGTCAAAAGCTAAAGCTGAAGAGAGACGATCATGAGTTTCGAAGAATCTATCATCATCTTCATCTTCAAAATCTCCTAATCCTTCCCAGTTCATCGTCATTGTCTTCTTCCGATCCAATTTGTTCCCATCTTCCATCATTTTGCATAAACGAATTTGAAATCAAAAAGTTTGGCAGATCATTGTTGATTCAGAGGCACCGTTATGGAATGATGGGCAAATCGGGAATTATGGAGGAAAGTGTTGAAGACGTGTTTTGTCTCTTTGTAAGACATCGATCTCTTCACGTTCAGTTTCATTACCGAAACTAATTAAAATGTTTTAATGATGATTTTAATCAAGATCTTAATTCAAAACCAAAGGTCGTGGAAGCATGTTTTGCTTTCGTTATAATTCAAAGCTTAATTTACGTTTTGTTAGACTGTAAATGTGAACAAAAATTATATTGTATGTTCGACTTTACGTGTAAAAGATACTTAAATAAAATAACTAAAGATGACTATTTTTAAAGTTGGTGGTGTTAATTTTCTTTTTTACCAACAACTTTTTGTTGTTTTTTGGCTATTTTTATATGAAATTCTTGAATACATACATAACTTAAAATTATGCGAAATTTAAAAATACTAGGCATTGACCAAGAAGACTGATAATGCGAGGGAACCACATTCTAGCAAATCTTGAGTCTTGACCATCATGCCAAAATGTTTTACTAGGAAGAATATCAATAAGATAATAATAAGCTAGCTATCATCTTTAACTAGATTTTTGGGTTAGTATAATAAACATGTATATCCTTATTTAATAACGAAAAATCAGTATAGATTTTACATTATAAAAAAAATTGAATATTAACAAGACTTTTGACCATATAAGAAAGATCACGCTAATCAAAATCTTGAAAGTTGAAGACTAGAGCTGCAAAGGGGTTGTTGCTTTATTTGTATCCTGTTTACAAACATTTCAAAGAAGCTCTCTAATCACTTTGAATTGAACGTTTTAAGGTTGACAAGAATCAAAACAGAATGAGTACAGCTCTATGTACATATCTTCATATATGTTTTGAGTCTTAACATCATTATGTCACAGCATTAGTGTTGAGAAGTATTGTTCAAATTCTTGATCAATGGTTGGCTTCTTTGTCTCATGTAGAGTAGAAGAATCTGCACATATGAAACCAAGTTAGTGAATTCCTGGTTCAGTGAACTAATATGGTCAAACCAAAACCGGTTTTTACCTTGGTTAACAGTCCATCTCCCAGAGGACAGAACAAACTTAGCAGCATTACTACTACATCCTTTAGCTTCTTCTTCTTCTTCTTGTTCATCGAGATAGAGAATGTTTTCAATGACTTTATCTGAAAAATCCTCCAGATTCTGAGTCCCATAGATGTAATCTAGATGGCTTTCGAAAGAGATCATCTTGTCTTCACCGCACGATCCAGATGATTCCTCTTTCATCTCAATATCATTGTTACATTCCATAGAAGTTGTTGAGTTCACATAAGACATTGAATACGCTGTATCAATCTCCGAGCTAACATTGGTATTGTCAGAACAAGCAACATTGGCGAAACAAGCGTGCTTGGAAAGAGGTAGTAATGATAACTCATCAGATTGATCTGTCTGAAATTTCCTCTTCTTGCTCACCTCAACTTCTTCTTCCATTTTCAACACATTTTTACTACTACTTATGATCATGATGGAAACTGTAAAAGAAACCGTGACAATATGAAGAGCAAAACAAAACATCTTAATCTCAATTATTAAATAAATAAGCTAAAATCAAGACAATACTTCAATCATCCTCTGCAGCTATGATTTTGGTCAACCATTGACATGAATACATACATGTTAGTATGTTACTAATCAATATATAATCATCCTCTGTATCTTATGTTTGATTAAGAAGCATAAGAAGAAATTAAGAGTTAAAAACACTAATTTTCCAATACACAGAGATCTAATATTTAAGAAACTGAAACCTGTTAATCTCAGATGGCTTCTCGTTGTTGTTATCCACTTCCACTTCAGGCATAGATCGCAGAGAGAGAGAGAGAGTTCAAAGATAATTGTTTTTCTTATTACTCTTTAAAAAATGCTCTTTCCACTTTCAGAGGGTCGGAAAATCTGGAAACTGCGTAACTTAAGAAAATATAAATTAAGCAAAAAGAGTACGACGCACTACGTAGGAGCGTGTCTTACACGGACTATTTGAATCCGTTGATCTCGTCGACACGGTGTTCGATTTGGCGCGTGAAAAGAATCTACGTGTTGGAGAGGTGACCCATCTTCTTTCACGGGACCGTCTTTTTTATTTTTATCTTTCGCTCCACACAATTTTGTAATTCTTTTACTATTGTCCCATGGCCATAACGATTTTATGGGCTTTTGGATGAGGAGTATCATTTTTTTTTCTTACATAGGTATAAAAGTTGAATATTTTATAATTCTATATCATTATGTAAATAAGAAAATATATTCTAATATATGATTTCTTTTGTGTTTGTGTGTGTTTTTTCTACAAATTATAAGATATTACTGTTAGGAAGGTTTTTTAAGAATTTTTCTCAATAAGAGCAACTTACAGATTATATAACTATTTGGAAATATTTTTGGACAATTTTTTATTTTGTAAATGTGGTATGACTTAAAACATTTAGCTAGTACCATAATGACAAAATATCTTATCAATAATTTATAACAATTGACACGTCGAATGTACTGGATCACGTGCTTCGCATGTGCTCACGAGAGTATCATATGGCGCTGTCTGATGATTTTGGTAGCATTCATCATTGCAACTCGTAAGAAGAAAAGCTGAAACCAGACCTTCCTTCGTTAACTGTTTTCAGCTCCAGCTTCTGAAACGGACTGGCCAAAACAAAATTTTAAGATTTATCAGCTTCTCTTTACCTCAAACAACAAATTATAGTTTGTAACTATACCAGGAGGATCTTGTGGACTAACCTGCTGTTTGGATCATAATAGAAACCGCTGATGGATCCGTCGCTGCAGGAGAAGCATACGTAGTAAAATCCAGCTATTGTTAGTCCACAATCTGTGCCAACATTTACAAAGTATTGCTCTTTCCATCTCTGCACCACCACAAAAATAAACCAGAGTTTGTAGGAACTTTAAGATATTTGAGAGAAAATGATGATTGGATTCGATAGGAAAAACTGAGAGTTATACCATAAATATATAAGGGTAATTGTTAAGATCCAATTGCCTGCCCCCGTCAGATTCAACTTGTCCCTGCAGGTTTAAGTCCAGAACGTTGCTCAGGAGATGGATGTTACTAACTCTACAAGCAAAGTTACTCGAGTGTTACCTGAAGAGGCGAAAAAGACGGGAACTTTGACCAATGTCTCATATCATCTTCCCTCCTGCGAGAAACAAAATTGCAAAAATTTATTCACGACAAGAAATCATTAGTTTCAAATCTTCAAGAAAATAGGGATTACGACATACGTGGCTTCCCATTTTCCGGTGTAAAAAGTATAATTCTTTCCATCAACGATTTCCCCTTCCCAGAATGTTATGACCTGACACTCATAGAATCAAGAATCGTTTCCCGTGTTATAAAGTCAAGGGGAAGTAACATGAAGACAACAAACAAGTAAGAGTGTAAGGCTTACAGGAGTATCTGCCATGGGAACGTTTAGAGCTTCCATGGTACCACAAAGATAGCCATGTTCAAGGTCAATTCCCTGTATCTGGACGTTAACTCTCCAAGCTTCCTCCTTCTGTTGATTAGAGACATTTTGCGTACCAGAAAATGCCTGCAGCATAAACACATGTGCGTATGCCACAATTAAAAAGACCTCATTTCTATGTTCATTACGAATAAACAATCTATTGGAGCCAATACATGTTCTACAATCCCAACTAGATATAAGTGCATACAGGTCAACATGAAAAAGATTAGAGATATCAAGCAATTCAAAGCAAACAAAGCCAACTTCTACTTCGTATAAAACGAAATCAGCAGTACTATAGAAATTGTATGCAAGTAGAACATGGGTATAAGACGCATATCTATCTAATGGGAAGAAAGTATTCTGTGCCCATGATGTTTGGTGCCTGCCTAGTGCCTATGAATGATGCTTTGTGACTGAACAACGAGATCTTTACATCTTTATAAGAAGAGTATGCACAAGCATGAATACAAGAATAGAGTTCCTACTAGTCCTAAAATATTCCCACGACATCTATGATCAGACATTATTCATTAATGAACTACCTCAATCAATTTGTGAATCCAAGTACAGAAATTTCTAATCTTTACACAAAAGATTGACGCAAAACAACATTTTTTCTTTCATTCATGAATCGTTTTACCTGGCCAGCGCCGAGAAGTGAGCTAGGCGGAAGTGGTGATCGATTCCCAGGATCAGTTCCTAAATGACAACAAAGCTCAAAGAATGAGCGAGAACCACAAATCGGGAATAGGAACAAACCGAAGAAGCAATAAAAACCTGAAACTTGAGCAGGCGTGTTGCTCTCAACAACTCTCACCGGCATTTTCCTCCTTCCTTGCCGTCTGATTAAAAATCCGATCTTTGGTGCGACCAAATCAAAATTGTAAAGCTTAATAAACAGAGATGGGCTCGAGCCCAAAACCACATGATCTTATCATACCCGGTTCGGTTTGCTAAGCCGAGTGAAATTAAATTATACATAGCGAATTAAGCTTCTCCGGTTTAATCACGATATAATTACTAGGAGGATTTGCAGAAAACCTCACAAAAACCTTTTCTTATTTCCGTCAGACCGATCTTCTCTCTCTCTCCTCGCCGGCGCCTCCAAATTCTTCAACTTCCGAAGGTAATGATTATTGGGTTGTTTACAAAGGACGAAGCTTTTCTTTTTCACCTCTATTATCGACCTTGCTTTATAAAAATCTAACCTTTGGACCTGACTTCTCTACTCTTCTCTTTGTCTAGCTGCTTCTGTCACCATTCGACACCAGGTTTGTCTTCTTCTCAATTTGAAGCTGCGGCTTTATTAGTTTAGCTATTGACTCTAAGAATGTTACTTGAATCCATTCACATGAGCTTCTGACGCCTTTTTCATTGGTTTAGCCATTGACTTGGGTTTGGTTTGCTTGAGTTCATCCTCTGATTTGGTCTACCATACTTTAATCATGTACGGTGCTAAAAGTCCTTTTTGTATGGCATTCTAGATGTTGCTTCTGAAACAAAGCTCAGCTGCTATTCTTGTCGTTGAGAATACAACACCAGTCCTCCACACTTCTCGCTTCACCTACAGAGTTGGACCTTTTCCAGTGAGCAGAACGCAGTCGTTCCAGAGTTTGACTATGGCAAATTTGCAGAAGCTTTCCACTTCTTCATCTGGGAAATTGAATACGGCTTTAGCGGTGTCCTGTAGCGCTCATGAGGCTTCTCCTATCAGGTACCTATGTCCCCTGTATTTTTTATTTTTGGTACACCGCGTCTTTTTGTTTGGATATACGCTTAATTAGGTTGGAAATCCTATGTGTTTTGAGTATAATGGTGTCACATCGTAACCATTCTTCTGAAGTAATTTCTTGATTCTTATTATGTTCTTGGCTATGGTGAGTAAAAGGAAACATGATTGGATCAATTAAGCTGAAAGTCGTTTTATTTAAACCATAGATCAACTAAGCTTGCATATATTAATCTCTGGAAATGAAGAAAACTTTCTCTTTTCTTCTAAGTGTCATGGACTTGAGAAATTGCATAGCTGTTGTGGTTAAGATTGCATCACACCAATTGCAATGAAGAATAAAGTAAAGAAACTAGCTGTGCTTCCCTGCTCGTTTCTCTGTTACTAGACACCAAGATTTGAAAATAGTAAGATTGGCGAAGGAATTTCCAATGTTATTTTTCTTTTTTCTTTGCAAGTGAGAAGAACGAGAATAAACATGTCCATGGAGTTTCTGAGATAATTGTCGGAGTTCTTGGGGGTGGACAATTGGGTCGTATGCTTTGCCAAGCTGCTTCTCAAATGGCTATCAAAGTGATGATTTTAGATCCTTCAGAAAATTGTTCAGCAAGTGCATTGTCGTACGGTCACATGGTTGATAGCTTTGACGACAGTGCTACAGTAGAAGAATTTGCAAAAAGGTCTCTTCTTTTGTTTTGTTTCTTGAATGCTTCAGGTTCTCGATTCTTATTGTCATTGCAATATTGATGGTTAACTTTGTTTATTGTCGTAGTTAGATGTGGAGTCTTGACTGTAGAAATTGAACATGTTGACGTAGAAACATTAGAGAAGCTTGAGAAACAAGGGGTGGATTGCCAACCGAAAGCTTCTACTATCAGGATAATACAGGTTTCCTAGCCTCTCAAATATTTTCATCAAATGGAGTTATGAATAATTGAAGTTTTCCAGCAATGTGATTTATACGAGGCAGTTTGATGATGTTCCAGGATAAATACATGCAAAAAGTTCATTTCTCTCAGCATGGCATCCCACTTCCAGAATTTGTGGAGGTTAGGCACTTGTTTATGCTTTGTTGAAAAAATCACTCATGAAGTTCTCCATGAATCATGAAGAGTTTGTTTAATATTTTAACCCCTAAACCTCGCCACGTCAGATAGGCGATATTGAAGGAGCAAGAAAAGCAGGTGAACTTTTCGGTTACCCTCTTATGATCAAGAGCAAACGATTGGCCTATGATGGACGTGGAAATGCAGTTGCCAACAACCAAGATGAGCTTTCGTCTGCTGTAACGGGTAAACCCTTAACTAACCATATGTAATGTGGTTTCACAGTTTCTGGTAACAGTTGAACCAGTTAATCGTGTACAATGCCACAGTCATATAGATGAACAATAATGCTCTCATGTGAAACTAGCAATAGTGTTCTGAGACAATTCTTAAGTTGGTATTAAGCCCTGACACCTATGTTTGTAGTAGATATCGTAATGACATACTTTTTAGCTCTACAATGTAACCTTTATTTTCCCTGCTTTCGCTTCAATAATTTTTCTCTTTTCCAGCTCTTGGAGGTTTCAGTCGTGGTTTGTATGTTGAGAAATGGGCACGTTTTGTCAAGGTAAACGATGATAAAGTTTGTTTAATTTAGTAATTTAATTGAGCTCAGACGTGTATAATCGGTTACATATCAAATTTTAGGAGTTAGCTGTTATTGTGGCTAGGGGAAGAGATGGTTCTATGGTTTGTTATCCCGTTGTTGAAACCATTCACAGGTAACTCAAAAGCTCGACTAAATATTATTTATAAGATTGAAAGTTATGGTACAAATTTTTACTAATACACCTTGAAATGCATTATAGGGATAACATATGCCATATAGTTAAAGCACCTGCAGATGTGCCTTGGAAGATCAACAAACTTGCCACCGATGTTGCCCAAAAGGCTGTCGGTTCTTTAGAAGGCGCTGGTGTTTTTGCAGTTGAGCTATTCTTGACAGAGGATGGTCAGGTATTTTCTCATACATTTTAGGCACTCTACCTTATTTATTTTTATTTTTAACTTATCAGAGTTTTATTTCCTCCCAGATCTTGCTAAACGAAGTTGCACCTAGACCACACAACAGTGGCCATCAAACGATCGAGTGCTCTTATACTTCACAGTTTGAACAACACTTGCGAGCTGTGGTTGGTCTTCCACTCGGTGATCCATCAATGAGAACTCCGGCGTCCATTATGTACAATATTCTGGGAGAAGATGATGTAATTGATGTTTATCTTTACTTTATCGTTTCAATTTTCATGATAATAATACCCATTGCATTATCTTCTTATCCGTTTAATGAACATGTAGTGGCCTTTTGGTTTCATTTTTTTTTTAAAATCAGGGAGAAGCTGGTTTCAAATTGGCTCATCGGCTTATTGCAAGGGCTCTGTGTATTCCAGGTGCATCTGTTCATTGGTATGACAAGCCAGGTTAGATTTTTGTTCTCTTACAGTTTTCTTGTGGTATGTTGCTAGTTTTTGTGAACTATTGTGATTACTCACAAAGCTTGTACGATAAACTCTTAATTGTTAGAAATGAGAAAGCAGAGGAAGATGGGTCACATCACTCTTGTTGGGCAGTCTATGGGTGTTTTGGAACAAAGGTTGCATTGCATATTAAGTGAGCAAAGCCAGCAAGTACACGGTCAGTTTCCATAGCATCATTTGGTATCTATATTCCATTGGCTTTTAGTTTCTGAATGCCTTCAAACTTATCTCACCAAAATCTGTTGTATATAACCTTTTTGTGAAACAGTACACCCTTCGTTTTCATGATTGTTGAGCCCTTCAATAATCTTCAAAGTATCTGACTGAATTTGTGTTGCTTGTTGTTTACACATTGCAGAGACACCTCGTGTTGGTATCATCATGGGTTCAGACACGGATCTTCCTGTTATGAAGGATGCTGCCAAAATTCTGGACCTGTTTGGTGTGACACATGAGGTAAATATTAAGATCTGCTTGAACAATTGAATTTGGCACGACTTGCATGAAGTAATTATAATCCACTGAAGACAGATATAAGAAACCTTAAGTTTGTAATTTGGTAAACTAATTGTGTAGAAGCTCAAATATATACTTTGCAATTATGCATTGCCCAATATTTGGTCACGTAGATAAATTGATAGTGACATCATTTTCGGAAGCAGCCTCTCCTATCAAATATGTGAAGGATTTCTTGTTCATGTTTATCACCACAAAATTCATGGCCTTAACCTCTGTGTATCTTGAATGGTACAATATGGTATCATTTGCTTACAGGTAAGGATAGTTTCTGCTCATCGCACCCCGGAGATGATGTTTACATATGCAGCCTCAGCTCATAGTCGAGGCGTTCAAGTCATCATTGCAGGTGCTGGTGGTGCTGCTCACTTACCAGGTATGTCTTTAACATGAACTCATCTTGTCCCTCCCACAAGATTGTTACCGTAAACTAATGGATTTTCTTGGAAATTAGGTATGGTTGCTTCACTCACTCCTTTGCCTGTGATTGGTGTCCCTGTCCGTGCTACCCGCTTGGATGGAGTTGATTCACTTCTATCCATCGTTCAGGTACACTTTCATTGCATCATAATTAACTTCAGCTATTGATTTTTTGCACCATTTGAAAAGATTTAGGTCTGCGATTCTTAAACCTTTCCATTTTATCCTTTTTTGTTACCAAAGATGCCTAGAGGTGTTCCTGTTGCTACAGTTGCAATAAACAATGCGACCAACGCAGCCTTGCTTGCAGTCCGAATGTTGGGAATCTCCGATACTGATCTTGTCTCAAGGTTCTTTTTTTTTAATCTTTTCTTTTGTTACATAGAGAGTCAGATAAAACAAGAACTAGAGAACCTTATTATAAATGAGATTTGTGGGTTTTGTTTGGTTGATCAGGATGAGGCAGTACCAGGAAGACATGAGAGATGAGAACCTGGATAAAGATGAGAAACTTGAGACAAAAGGTTGGGAATCGTATTTGAACCAGTGAGAGTGTTACTGGTCAGAGCACTCATTGGGAAATTGGGAGTGAACCATCACGGTTGATTTTGCGGCAACGAAGATCTTAAAGAGTGATCTGAGAGTTAGCCTCAATTCTTGAGTTAGTTTGTTGTTGTTGTAATTGTCATCTCCATCCGCTTCATGTTTAAAGCATAATTAATTGGGAGTCAATGTAATTGAGTTTGTTTTTCCAAAAGATGTCCATAAAAACTGCAAAACACACGATTTAACTGGTGAATTAGCTATGGTTTTGCTGGAGGTGATCCGTTTTGATTTCTATGATAATATGATTAGGATAAATCCGTATAACCAATAATTGAATTATCATGAAACAGTTCGTATACTTTTTTTTTTTTTAATATCAGTATCGTTCTTATTTGTCTTTATAGAGAAAACCAGATTAAAATGTTTTGTACAGAAGTATTTCAAGCAGTGGAGGAGATTATGGGAGTGGTTGGAACTTCAAGTCGGGATGATTCTTCTTGACGCGGTTGATAACGTGGTTGTTGAACCCCTTAGGTCTCTAAAGATGGGAGAAGTAGGGGTTGGAAACCATTTCGAAGAGCAGCATCCCAAACTCTAGGAGGATTAATGATTGATTCGAAACCGCACTCGTGTTCCTCCCACCCTTCAAGCGCATGCACTATCCCACCAACTCTCCATGCGCTCATCACTCTCCTCCCCAGCCAATTCTATAGACACAAATGTGTTATAGAGCGTACCAATTATATAATCTATCTTCATAAAATACAAACACTTGACACCATTCTAATATTTTCTGTTTGTGTTTGAAATTTACGTTTTATAGCGTGGTTAAAATGTTTAAAATTGTGTGTGATTTAAGAAATATATGATAAAAATAGTAAACCTAAACGCTAACGCAGACAAACTATGGAGACTATTTTCTGGAACTGAAAATGTATACGTACCTCACAAGAATCAATGTTATGGGCAGCGTGCGGGATGATCATAGCCGGAGTGGTATGGTAAAAGCAGTCTTTTCGTAGTTTGGTAGGAGGAAATTGAGAGAAAGGAAGAAAGAGAGTTCTTTCTTTTGCCATCTTCTGCTCTTTTTTGCTTAGCCCATCTCCCACCAACCAAATCTACAATATCATATGTTACATATTTTTATGTAATCTTGATTATGTTTTTATTAGTTTAATGCCATTTCTTTACACATACCATTGGATAGTAATTGGTTGTGAGCACCAGATTTTCCTTACAATTATCGTCCAAGAATTCGGCGAACATGGAATGCTCTTCCTTGCGTAAGACCATCACCTAATTATTTTAATTTATTGAGCATGAAAACCGATTATAATTTCTCTAAAAATTTATCTATTTTAAACTGTTTTAAAATGTAAATCTTTCGCAAGCTCAAACCAAATCATATAAAATGAGATGCCAAATTTGTTTTGGACTTAAATAGGCCACGTGACTTTGTTTACGTGTAAAAAAGCAACTATCAAAGAATTAATTAGATAGTGGCGTAACGTTTTGTATGGAAACTCCTTTGACTCTATTTACTTCGATCCTATTTTCACACGCAAAATTGGCTTTATATATTGACAACTAGAGAAGAAAAAATTGGCTATATATATATATATTTTAAACGGTCTATCCAAATTGAATCATTTGTTTCACTCTCTCCAGTTGTAAAAAAAAAAAACAAAGAAAAAAATAGGTACCTTGATGGCATTTTGGCAAAGAGAAAAGACAATGGCACGAGCAACTTTTGTGATTTGGCCTCTAAAGAGAACCTCGTTGGTCCCAACAGGAATGCTATGAAGCACCACCTCAGCTGCAAGACTGCTTCCGTCCACTATCCTTATCTTTAGCTTTGGATGCTTCCTCACGTACATTTCTCCATACCCATTTAATTCTTCTCCCTGAGGATATTAATAATTATTAAGATTTATTGAATAAGTAACGAATTAATGTATAAATTGCATTGATACAAAAAAGGTATAAATTGCATACCTGGTTCAATAGCCCCAAACTCATTACTTTCACACCCTTCTTCTCCGCTTCAAGAATAGCCGCCTCTATCATTTTGTTGATACATTCTTTCTGCTGCTGCGACATGTACTGTGGATTTGGAAATAAAACTTATTACTAGACGTGAAATTGTTTGATGTTTAAGGATTAGAAAAGAGAAGAGATATACATGAGAGGAGAACTTGGGAAGAAGGTGGGAGTGAAGTGTGAGATCACGGAAGCGGTTTCTCTCGAAGACGAAGGTTGGAAAAGAGAATGAAGTGAGAATGAAGGAGATGATATGAGTGAAGGGCTTCATCATGATGAATAGGTAACACTGGGAAGAGAGCGGGTGCAAGGAGAGGGAAGCCAAGCCGAGCCGGAGATGGTAAATAGAGTCCAGTGATGTTAGATGGGTCAGATGAATCGCGTCAGGCTTATCTTCTTCTTTCTCCAACGATGTTTCGTACAATGAGTCACTGCACTCGTCGGTAGTCCCATAGATGTAGTCGTACATTGGCATGAATAGAGAGTAGTTTGTCCTGAATTGTGTGTGGTGGAGCGAGTGAAACCTACAAGTATCTCATATATATACTTAGTCTAAAAAAAAAAAATTCAATCATAGTTTGGCCATTGTAAACGCTTTAAGTGGTAACAATTCTCGGTTTTCCACAGACATAGGGATTATAGTCTGAATTTCCGTTAGGACCCCCCTTATAGAAAAAATGTTTTCAATATTTAGTCACAATGCATTTGTGATTAGTAACCAAAATTCTAGTGTTTAAATCATAATTCATATGTAGACAGTAGATTGTAAACGCAAAATTCAAACGCGTGTTTACAATAAAAAATTTAGCATTGCAACACAAATGCATACGTGTGAAACAACCGAGTCTACTGTACAATATTACTATTCTAGTGAATTTTAATCACTTACGAGGGAGTGTAGCAAAGGAACTTAAGAGGAGGTAAAATGGAGAAGAGAGATCTCGGAATGAGCTCGAAGTTGCAGTGACCCATATTGTTCATAAAATCTATGTAAGTTGCATATATGAGAATGGAGACAGCCGAGACCGTGCCGCATAGCAAAGTCATTGTTAGAGGTAGCCCCAAGATTAACGTATATCCAATGTGCTCCGCAAACGGATGTACTACCGCTGAAATCAAGACCCATGGTTTAGAATTTGTCGCACATATTCATAAAAATATGTAAGATATTGAACATATATATCCATATCATTTAACAATATATAAAATTTTGAACCATTATAAGAAAATTATAAATTCATAACGTCAATTTATATGAAATGTTAAAAGACAACCAGAACATAAAACTTTAGTTTTTGTGAAACATATATAGAGTATACGTACAAGTGATTGGCTCGGTGACAATGGAAGAGTGGTGGTGAGAATGGTAGCGAGAGTAGAGGAAGTGGTGGTGAAGTGCTCGGTGGAACCAATAGTAGATGAACTCGACCGGACCAGCATGGAGGAGAGCGACTAAGATCAATCCATCGGTTCGCCAGAAGGAAATGGTATTGGTCCCTAAGACGTACAGTTTGGTTAAGTAAAGAATGAGAGAGTTGAAGATGATCTGATCGTCCCAGGTTTGTTCTCGGTCAACTTGATCAAACTCTATGGACTTGTTCACGATCCGCTTGGTTCCTTTTGCGGTTTGGTAACGGGAGAAACTTATCCATATTTGGCTATGAACAATCCGCCACACCGCCAATGCCACTATCATAAGTTTCTCGTGATCTCGCATGGTTGCATATGAGTAGATGCTGTCGATAACAAGCGGGGCCAACACTATGTACTGCAAGATTTATCCATATATTATACAAACATCATGACTAATATATGGTTGATATTAAAAAAGGATTATAAATGGATGTATTTGAAGATGTTATAAAGCAAAAGAGAGGCAATGAAAGAGACCTTAAAGCTTCCAAGAGGAGTCCATGGCCAGTCCGTGAGAAAACCTGATCTCGACGCCATTTTTCCTCCGCAAAATGATCGATGATAACTCCGTGACGTCTTTCCAACTCCTTTTGTGTGCGAATGTACTACATATATACTAATACTTGCATAGTTAGAATAGAGGGGCATCACATTCACATGTGAGGCACATGAGACTTCCTTTTTCCGAAAGTCTAAAAAGATTCTAAACCTAATATCTAAGTTTAACAGATAAGAGATTCTTCATTAAATTCTCTTGAATCTACACTCTTCCCAAATACTAAGTTATTCATTTGACTATACAAATTTGGCATATCCAAATTATATGTGACAATTGCCTTAGCTTACTATTTTCATTTTCTTTTCATTAATTGGTTTCTTGTTGGAAATTTAAGGAGCTGCTTTTTCCACCGAAGCTGGGGTCTTTATTTAATACGTATTGACAAAACCATGATTAGAGGACTAAAAATATAGAAGTATGCCTTCTCTAAAACATTGCTAATACAGATAGATACACGTTCACAGGGCCGGCGACATGAAAAACCAGGGAACCGACAGCCAAAAGCGAAGCACTAAATTTCACTATATAATATGGTTGTAATTCAAATGTTTTCAACATGAATACGATGAAAGAACCAATGATAAACTTATAGTACTAAATATATTATATAAACATTTGTATAGAAATTGAAATATACCACAGAGTTATCGACGTACTGGGCGGAGTTGTGGATTAGAGCAAAAAGAGTTCCTTCTCCTGCCATTATTTTTGACCAAAAAGAGAACAATTTAGCTAAACCTCTTTTGGTAGAATCTATTTTTGCCTTTTCCTTCGGAAACAATTTGGTTAAGAGTATATATATAGAATCTATGGCCATAATACTCTTTAGAAAGTAATTTCAACATATCCTGAAGTATATATATACATAGTCTTAATTGTCGTCCAAATAGTCTCTACATATGAAATGCAAAACACAAAAAAAGTTCAAATATTCAAAACATCACTATCGCAGTAGATTACATATAGTATATATAACTTCAAAACATTCTATTCATCTCCCACCAGAAAGTAGAGAATCAGCTATGGAAGATCCACCGGTAAACCCTTTGAATACGGAGGAGGAATACGACATCCCTAATTCACTAAATCCGTCATGAACCCCAAACATCATCCCACTCCCAGACAAGTCCAACGGAGACAATTCTGGTAACTTTGCATCTCCTCTTAGATAATGTAGCACTTGTCTCATACTTGGTCTAGCCCGTGGGTCGGAGTGAGAGCACAAGAGACCTAGCTTCAAAACCATTTCGACCTCCTTTTCATCACATTCGGAACCCATATTCGGATCTTTAGCAGCCAAGATGTTCCCCTTGTTCCATAACCCGAAAACCCAATCCACGAGCAAGAACGTCTCATCGGTCTCATGCTGGATCTCGATAGGACGTCTACCGCAGGAGACTTCGAGTAAGAACGCCCCAAAAGCAAAAACATCAGTAGCAGTCGTGGCACGTCCTGTCCGAGTGTGTTCTGGAGCTAAGTATCCCAATGTTCCAACAACGTGCGTGGTCTGAGGATCCGACCCGTGATCATACAAACGAGCCAAACCGAAATCCCCGAGTCTCCCGTTGAGCTCTCCATCTAACAAGACGTTGCTGGCTTTGACATCCCGGTGAATCACAACTTGTTCCCATTCCTCGTGAAGGTAGAACAAGCCAGAGGCAACACCGAGAATAACCTTAATCCTCTGTTTCCAATTGAGTGTAACCTCAGGAGTGTTGTACAAGTACTTGTCTAAGCTTCCATTAGGCATGTAATCATACACCAGAAGAAGCTCACCTCTCCGGCGGCAATAACCCAAAAGAGGGACTAAATTCCGATGACTCATTCGACCAATACTCACGATCTCCGCCACAAACTCTTTCATCCCTTGTCGAGACTCGTGCGAGACTCTTTTAACAGCTATCTCCAACTTCGTACCGGGCATCACACCTTTGTAAACACTCCCGAACCCACCAGTTCCAAGAAGTCCCTTCTCCTTGAACCCTTTGGTCGCGTAGTACAAATCCTTGAACCTGAATCGATTCTTCCCAAACTCTTTTTCCCAATCTTCAAGCTCCTCCGCGAATTTCCTCCTCCTCCTCACAATGTAACAAACGAGGAAGATAAACGAGAAAATCAAAAACAGAGAAATCAACGGCATCCCGATCTTGTAGAACTCAGAGATTCTCTTAGGCTCGAACCTAGGAAGCTTCGGGAGTCTCGATAAAGCCAAAGGTGGAGCCTTTTCGTTCAACCCGAAACTCCACCCGAGAACATAATGTTCCGACAGAACAGAGCCTGTCGCAGAGGAAAAACCCACATACATATCTTGGAGAAAAACTGAAGAAAGATCTCTGACAGCCGAAACAAGCGGTCTTTTAGGTTTATCCTCGTTAAACGGAGCCATCGTCACATCGATTTTAGTTGTAGGAGCGTCGTAATCGACCCAGACCTGCATCGGCTTACGACTGATCAAAGTCAGATTCTTGAATTGGTTTTTCTCGTCCCAGTACCCAGCCCGAAAACTTTGCACAGACTTCAAACTATTGATATCGATTCCGACATGATTATCGTTTGTATCATTGAACTCTGTACTCAAGATCGTATCCAATTCAACAGCAAAGACATGATTTGTGTCATTACCGTTGTTTGAGATGTTGAAAAGACCCAAGTATTGGCTTGGCGTTGCGTAAGGGAGGCTTGAGTTAGGAGCGACGACAAAAGCGATACCATGGCCGCTGAGAATCGCGATCTGAGAGTGAATAGCGAAGACGAAAGTTGTCGAGAAGGATGAAACGGTGCCGTTTGGAGAATCTTTAAACCGGATTGGTTTAGTGTAGAAGGCGTGACCGGTTTTCTGAACGGTCGTGTTGGTTAGTTTCAAGAGACCGTTTGGTGTGACGGTGGTGATTCCTTGGATGGATATGTCAGTCGGTGGATTAAAGCCATTGTTGTAAGCAAAATTGAGACTATGAGATTGAAAGAGGAGGCTGAAGAAGAAGATGGTGAAAAGCTTCAAGAACATGGCTACCTCTTTTTCTCTGCTTCTGTGTTTTTTCTATTGCTTTGTTTTTGTTTAGCAGAAGAAGAAAGAGAGACCAAGACAATTTATGGTGTGAAGAGAGTGGAAAAGTCGTCACTCTTTTTTTTCTTCATTTTTTTTCTTCTTTACTTATTGTTTCTAGAAAAAAAAAACAACTTTATTTTTTCTTTGTGGGGATATACTCGTAAGTCGTAACTCGTGATTGAGAAATTTCATCAAGGTAGGTGATATGTGTTTCAACTTCCAAGATTAAAAGCTTAATTAAAGAATAGTACTTCATTTCTGTACTCAAAATACCAATATTTAAATCTGTCATCTATTTGGCTCATTATGCTGTAACCATAAAAAAAGATGTTTTAGGCACTACTAGTATTTATCAAAGTATTTATGGGTGATGATGGAAGATTCGACGGTAATTATAACAGTGACAGTTTGTTTTATTTGAGATAAAACTTAAGAATGATTAATTATGATTTATAATCATTATGATTAATTATGCTCATGGATTTTATCTTTAAGAATGACATCAGAATTAACATCAGCATAAGCTGTCACGTTTCCGAGGAGTATTTGAGTAATTTAGCCCTAAATTTTAAATTTGGCTTTTGTCTACACTACTTCCTCTATGATATTTGTTCTTGTCACAGACTCACAGAGTCACAGTCGTCTAATAAGCCAACCAAATACAGCGAGTTTCAACATTTCATAAAGTTATACATGTGAAAGAGATATTGGAAGACACGTACTACCAATCAAATGTAAGAATCAAATTTGGGCATTTTTGTGGACACAAAAGCCTTAATGGTTCTCAAAGTCTTGACATAACTCCTTACTTAAAAAAAAAAAAAAAAAAAAAAAAAAAAACTCCTTACTTTTTTTTTGCTAATGAAAAGAAAAGAAAATCTCTTACAAATGTATTATTGTATAGATAAAAATGATTATATACTTTACTTTTTCTATTTATATGCTGAAACTATATAATTCAACTAGTTTAATTTTAACTAAGATGATTTAAAAATCATCATGTATAGAATTGCCAACCTTTTAGCAGCATTGTTTACAAATAATGATTGAATTATTTTTCTAATAGTGTAGGGTTACATCATTTTACTTTTTATGAGTTTTATCTTGAATAATGAGTTAGCTGGTGCAGATTATGCCCCACGTAGCAAATGCATAACTAGTCAAAACTTAAAGACTAGAAAAGGGTCCACTCTAATCTTGGAAGCTTCTGACTTGGATAATCGTTGATTTTCTAAGTCAACCATGTGAATATTCTCCTTTTGGCTTTTGGTTTAGTACTGGAGTTTTGCGTGAGATCATCCGTATATATGTATGTTAACAAAGTCTTCTCTTCTCACCCTTGTTGTGGTTCGAGAAGAAGAGTTTGTTACGACGTGTGGTGCTAGGAAGAAGTTGAAATAGAGATCTGACGTTTTTACCATGTGAATATTCTTGTCCTTTTTGGTCTACTGGATTTTTGCATGAGATTGTCCGTATGCTAACAAAGTCTTCTCTGCTCATCATTCTTAGCTTCTCGTGTTTCGAGTAGAAGATTTTGTCCCGACCTGTGGTGCTAGGAAGAAGTTGAAATGGATATCAGACGTTTTTGCCATGCATAGGGATCTAAATAGATTTTCTTAATATATATATCTTTGATTCTTTGTTAGGGATAATGTTTTCTCTCTTAATTTAAAGTCCCAATCTAGTATTACGTTCATACTTGGTTTTGGTTTTACTATATAATTCGACCCAAATGTCAAACAATTCTCTGTACAATCTAAAAGTTTTTGTACTCGAATTAACCATAAACCAAAAAAAATTCGGTGCAATGTTTAAATCGATATAACCACGTCTATCAGGTCTTTATTGTAGGAGGGTCGTGAAAAGCTAAGTTGTTACAATAGTGGGTTTTGAAGCAACAAGTCATACTCTTTCATGAGCTATGCATTAAGTTTAGACTTTGAATTTTTCATCCAACTTGATCAAGTCTACTTAACAGAAACTCCATCAAACTACACAATGGAAATCTAATAAATCAGATTTGGGTTGGTTTAGTGTTTTGTCCCTGATAATAAAATAATGTATATGTCCTGATTTCTTATGAATACGTTTGTTTCAAAAGTAAACCTCAGTATTTTTTTCTCCCATGTCTCTCTTTTGTCATTACCTTCTTTTTCTTTTACTTGCAATAGACATTACCACACGATTAACAAAAAAGAACAAAAGAGAAGAAGACATTGCTACATAAAGAGGTGGGGCTGAATGTTCTAAGGCTACAATTAAAAACTGTGGTCTACTAAATAAGTCTATTTGAAAAACTTGTTCTTATAAAAAATACAAATCTACACTTCAGATTCAATGGAACATGTGAGAGATCCAAATTCAGTGGTGGATTCTTAATTGCTTGCTTTCTAGATCTACACATTAAAGCTCGGTCGTTGAAGATTTGATCGTTTCCGGATCTTGAACTTCAAGAACAGAGCAAGTATCTTTCTTTATTTAAGAGAGTTGGTGTTCTCTCTAGCATTCAATCTAAGATGTTTGGTGGAAAAAGTTACATACTCAAAGGGAGTGTATCACTTGCCTTGATTATCCTCATTCTTTTGGTGATAACACTCCCGGTTACCGAGAAAAACCCGCCTCGCATTTCTCTGATTGAAGTAAAAAAATGTAACGTGGCAAAGGGGAAATGGGTTGAAGATAGGAAGCGACCATTGTATTCTGGTTTTGAATGTAAACAATGGCTATCAACCATATTTTCCTGCAGGGTAATGGGCAGACCCGATTTCTCATTTGAGGCTTACGGGTGGCAGCCAGAAGGTTGCAACATTCCAGAGTTTGACAGAGTCAATTTCTTGAGAAGAATGCAGAACAAGACGATAGCATTTATAGGAGACTCCTTGGGACGGCAACAGTTTGAATCCCTGATGTGTATGGCCACTGGAGGTAAAGAGAGGCCAGAGGTTCAAAACGTGGGATGGGAGTACGGTCTGGTGAAACCTAAAGGAGCTCCTCGTCCTGATGGTTGGGCTTATAGGTTCCCGACCACAAACACAACGATTTTGTTTTATTGGTCGTCTACTTTAACAGATTTGGTACCGATGAACAACACAAATCCACCTCATCTTGTTGCAATGCATCTGGACCGTCCACCAGCATTCATAAAAAACTACCTTCACCGTTTCCATGTATTGATTCTAAACACCGGTCACCATTGGAGCAGAGGTGAGATCGAAGAACATCATTGGGTGATGCACGTAAATGGAACACGGGTTCAAGGCGGATATCTCAAGGAGGTCGGAAACGCTAAAGATTTTACAATACACAGACTCGTGAAGTGGCTTGATGCGCAAATTCCATTGCATCCGCGGTTGAAAGCTTTCTTTACGACGATTTCCCCAAGGCATGGAAAATGTAATAATACGGTCCCTTTGTCTAGAGGAAGCAAAATAACAGGCCATGTTGGATCTATGGATACAATAGTCGAGAGTGCTGTGAATGGGACAAAGGTCAAGATTCTTGACATAACTGCACTTTCTGAGCTAAGAGATGAAGCTCATATTGCAGGGTCTAAACTCAAACCGAAAAAGGTGAGTAACGTGACTTCTACTCCAACGATCAACGATTGCTTGCATTGGTGCTTACCCGGGATCCCGGATACTTGGAATGAACTTCTCATAGCCCAGCTTTGAAGTATTCATTTCAACATCATCGCACACAAGTAGTTCGATGGTTTGATTCTTTGTTATAATAAGGTTTTTTTCTTACATTCTTTTTGGGAGAAAAACAAAGGCTCTAGTTGAGTTTGTTTGTTGTTTATTTTTCATTAGTGGCTATCGAACATGTTCTACATTAGCGCTTACTGCGGTTGCGATTTCTGCTATCCGCGTTTGATAAGTCTGCATTCTTTTTTTTTTTTTTGATAAGTCTGCATTAGACCGATACATTTACAAGATATAAATTCATGTGTAATGGTTAAAAAAAAAAAAAACATACAAAAGAGTTTTGGATATGAAGAATCCGAACTTATCTCCTTCACCACAATATCAAGATCCTCTGCCTAAAAACTCTAAAAATCATTTTCAATATATATCGTCTAGACCCTAAGAGCATGATTATTTGTAGTATCTTAGAAATAAATCTTAGGAATATTTAAGTAATATATTTATAAAAGTGATAGGTAAGAGATAGTATTTTTGGGTTAAGATTTTTGTGTGATTAATAGTAGGTTTTTAACATGTGGTTTTTAGAAAAAAAAAATACTAATATAAAAATAAAATTTATAATTATAGAAAATTTAATAATTGTTGCAAATTAAAAAAATTAAAACATACATGAGATATAATTTATAACATAAATAACATAAAGCACAAAAAAAAAATATTCTTCTTTTGTTTGATTTTTTAACCAATCACAATGTGACACCTTGCACACCTTGCAACATCTTAAGTTAAGAAAAACATCTTAACTTAGATACAAATCTTAGCTTTAAGATGTTGGTTTGATTATTTTTAATCAACTTTAATCCTAAGATTTGTCTAAGATACTCAACATTTCAACCAATCAACTGCCTATAAGGCTATAATAAGGCTAAGCTATATGAATAAATATATTTTTGGAAAACATGTTACATGACTAGATAATACTATATTATTTAAAATGAAATGCTAAAAAACTAACAGTCTGTATAATTTGACGTTATAAAAATTTTGATTTTCGGTTAGCTGATATTCACATAAAAGAATTGCTCATTTCCTCTTGAAATGAAACTATATAGTAGTCTCTATAGATAAAACGGAGTCGGTCCATTCGTCGCTCGGATGCTTTGACTGAGGAGTTACACTTTCGAAAGGATTAAAATGCCGTATCTTGACATTGATTACGCTTTCTGAGTCTTCTTCACTGTTGACAACTTCACAACATTGTCTACGTGGCGCCTGTACCCAATCAAATAAAAAAGATTTATTATACAATTACAGCAAATTTAAAACCACAAGTTATATAACCATAAATCAAGATACTTATTCTCAAACACTATGCCTAAGAATAATTCACGATTTGTTTTTCCACTGTTAAAGTGATCACTAGCTTAATGTTTGTACAATGTACCCCAAAAGGACACTTTCTATGTTTCTTTTGTCACGATTATTATTTATGTCTATAATCTTGTGATAAATAATGGATATATATATATATATATGATCGCGAAGATTTCAATTTCATATAAGCAGATATTTTACTTACCATTTTCCAAAGATCCGGCATCCACGTAGTAGCGGAAACGTCGATGAACTCGACCGAGTTAGCACGAGAATAATCAAGCGATTTACATTGTGTCTCGCCGACATCAACATGTTTCCGGTACGTCGTAAGAGTCTGACCCGACCCGACCTCATAAACCCGGTCCAAGAAATAAACAATGGGTCTCTCGCACGGATCTTCGCTGATGGGTCGGGTATCAAACGAGAAAGGCTCAGAGCTTGACGTCCGCCACGACTTGAACGTAAGAAATGGCGTCTCAAGCTCCTTTGCGGTGACCAAAGAAGGATAAATTTGGATGGTATAGCCCCATGAAACGGACACAAACCAGTCCCGGGTCGGGTCATGGCAGAAGCTGTGCTGGAGGATCCGTCTTGGATCCGTCTTGTAGGCCGATACAAGTCTTCTTAGGGCGTCTATTTGGGTCGTCGCCGGAAATATTGGGTCAACATAGTCGAGATGGTGGAGCGTAACAAGAGGAGCCACCGGATGGGCAGCTAGTAAACCGTATGGATTGCCACGTATGTCAACCTGTATTTTACAATGCAAAGAAAAATCATTAAATCTTGATCTTATATATATGGTTTCAAATTATAGAAATTTCTCTTAAATATAGTTACACCAATATGCCACGAGACAATTGCCATATTAAGAAATGAGTCATTATTATGCATCCAGTAATTGTTCCGTTTGAAAAGCTAATTTAAGGAATTTTGAATACTATTAAATATTTTTGAATTCAAGCAAGGAAATTAAACAATATCGTGATTTAGGATTAATTTTCGTTGATATAAAACCGGACACAAGATCTGAGCATTAAACCTAGAACATGACATTTTTGATAATTATTTATTAATGTTTAAACTGGCAAGGGATAAGATTTTTGAACGATTTGAAATTTAAAACTGAACATTCAAATAAAAAGGAAATTCAGTATTTGTAGCTACAAAATAGAAACTAATTAATTAAGGGAAATTTCCATTTTTTTATTAGGTCAAAATAAGTGAATTTCCAGTAATAATGAGAAAAACAAAAAGGAAAATGTGAATATACCTGATGGAACCCTAGTTCCTTGGTCAGGGGAACTCCAATCTCGCTTATACAAGCTTCAATCTTTTGATCAGATCCGTATAACGATGCGTATCGATCAATACAACCATCGAGTATCTTTACAAGCTCCACGGCCAATGGATAGCTAATTGCTATTCCTCCACCACCGTAAGCCATGGCGTAAGAGTGAACTATGTCTTGTTCCACACTCTCTGAATTTCCTCCGATGTAATACATTTGATTGTGATCATACTTATTCAAAACCGTTACAAGATTGTCCACAAAGAAAACGGTGTCGTCGTCACCCATCACGAACCATCTCACGTTCGTTAACCCTAGCCCGAAACTCTCTTTAATGATTCTCGCCATTCGTATAGCTGATCTCGAACCAAACCTTAAAATAAAAACGAAATCGGATAATTTAATAAAATTATAGTTTCGTATGGTTAGGTATTCATCCAAATACATTGTCACAATATATTTGATGTGTGGTTAAACATTGAAAACTAGGTTTTTTGGACTTTTGGAGAAAAATATGTTTTGTGAGAATTGATCTTTGACCTAACTTGACTAAGATCAATTGGTTGAAATTATTATGTTATAGAAGTTGAAATAGTTTGTACCAGCAAGTGTAATTGAACCGGGAGGTATCCGCCGATACTTGGTACGGCGGAGAAGTCGGGAGCCACGTCATATTAAGAGGCGGTTCTTCCTCAAGCCATACGAAGCCGCGTGTGACATTGGGACGCCACCAGAGCTCGGAGTATCGACTGCGATCTCTCCACGTTTGAATTGAGCCACCAATCCCGAAAACTATGTGGGAGATATCGGTGGCCTCCGAGGACTGATTCTGTCCGAGGATGTTTAAGGAGGAGGCTGAAGAGTTGGTAGTGGAGTTTACATTGTCAGGGCCTAAGCGACGGTGGCCGTTGATGTGGTGGCAGTCGGAGCAACCGGAGAATATGATGTAGAAGAAGATCATAGCAAAAAAGATGACGATGCAGATGGTGAAGAAGAACTTGGCGACGAGGGAAAGAACATGGCTTGGTTTTACAGTCGTTGCCGGAAAAATCGACGGCGGTTTATGGCGGAGTTTAAACGGATCGAAGATGGCCATTTTTTTTTGATGTTTATGGTATGTGGGATGGGAATTTATTTTGTACAAATATGTTACGACTGTACGAATAGGGTTGAGTGGAAATAAAATTAAAAATTTACATTTATTTATTTTTACTATTTGCAGCTAAAATTTACATTTAAAAAAAAATTATTTATTGCTATTGCGAGACAAATTAAGAAAGTCCATATTCGACGAATATTCCTACTCCTTTATTTTCGTTAATGAAATATATGGTTTCGAGGAAACAAATCTTTTATTTAAGATGAAAAATATGTTTTTTTTTTTGAATTCGAAAGATCTAGCTTCTAAAATGTATGAATGGTTTTAAGCATATGGGATGAATATAGTCAGATACTGCATGACTAGAGTAATGGACCTTTGTTGACCACCAAAAAAAACTGATGGAAGCTGTTGCACATCTACGTTATTGGGCCAAGCATGGTTAAGTATTTTTTTTTTCTTTTTTGGATTTAAACTAAAAAGGGAGGCAAGAGTAACCCAATAGTTTTGTTACAAATCTTATTCTAGGCATCTAATTGAATTCGTATTTTTTGTAATGTGAAATTTGCAAAAGATTGTAGTGTGAATAAGATTTGTACGTTAACTTTACAAAAATATGAATTGGACTTTTTAGCTAAAGATATTGCATGAAACTCATGTTTCGGAGACATTGATGATCTAGTTGTTTTACCAACCTTTACCAGGTAAAACAATCTTAAACTCAATTTTTTTTTTTTTTTTTTTTGTAGAACTAGACAATGAACCACGTTTGAAGATTGTTGAAACTCTTGGAAATATGACTATATGAGAACGTAAACTACACTGTGGTTGTCTTCACGCAATAGCTTTTAAATTACTTAATTCAAGTAAACAACTTAATTAGTTATGTCAATTAATTAGTGAAACTCTTCTTATCAAAAAAAATTAGTGAAACTCCAACATGAGAGTTGTATATAATATTGATGAATCAGAATGAGCTAGACTTGTAATACATATATGTTATATATACTTACATAATCTCACTCGTGGACAACTGTTCTTTATAACTGAGAATAAAATAAAAGAAACCAGATTGGTAAAGCGGACCAACCAAGAATTTTTGGTCTTTTCTTATTGTCAGTATCCTCTGTAGAACTTTCGCTTACATATGTACAAGTGTACTTGTGTGTATTATATTTCAGTTATTAATCGAAGTCTACTTGTTAGTTTAAAACAGACATATATGGCGACTGGACTTGCTATATATAACAACTAGTCTTGCTGCAATTTCTTTTCATAAATATACAAACTAAAGTTAAAAAATATATATGAATTGGAACTATGAATTGAATACCAACCAAATACAAAATTGAGAATATAAACTAAGAATGTAAGGTTTGTCTTTAACTATGTGAATCTCAAATCATCTGATTTTATTTAGTTATATAAGAAAATACAAATGTTAATAAAATTAACATTATTCTTAACTGCCAATTTGTCTGATCTCGCTTTTTATATATGTTTTAATGGGAATAACATTGATTTCGATTATGTTGAAAACAACGATTTTTAACGTGTTTTAAAAAAAAACTTTAAATACCATTTTATAAATATTGCCCTCAACAATTACAGGGATGTCTGAATGCACTGAATTCGAATTAAGAACACGTATAACTTGAGTAAATCAGATCAATGATACATTATATTATTATTTAAGAATCGTCCAAAATTCCGTGACACTTAATTCTTAGAATCCAAACAAAAATTCCCTTCACGTATTGTATATATTTGATTATTAGCATCATATTTGAATATTAATTTAACTATTGAAATATGTGAGTTACAGAGAATGAGATTCATTCCCCATGTGGAAGCTCTGCCCCTATTCGAAGACTTCACTTCCACCTATGTATTGTTATACACAGAGAAGACCACTTCATTATATTTATAGAAATCTAAAGAGCGTATGCGTATCTAACTAATACCCAAACCCTAGTCCCTAGGTAAACCAAGAATTAGTTGATAGCTTTGAAGTTTATGCCAATGGGTTCATGAACGAATCGAAAAACATTCAAGAGAAATTATATGTTTGAATTAAGGCTTTGAATTCATTTCAAAATCCAACTTACACACAAAGAAGAGAGTTTGATGTTATTTCACCGTATCATTTCTTAGAATCTCATACAACATATATATTTATACCTTTAAATCTAATAGAGTCCATGTACATATATATATGGCCGAATAAGGTTAAATAAGAGAATTAATTATAAAATTAAGATATTCATATATATCTCTTACCTCAAATCCCACTAGAAAATGCGAACGAGCTAGTGGATGGCCAACATTGTAAAATCAAATCAAACCAGTAAGACACTCTTATTTTTTTTACTTTTAGACTTCTAGTAAAACCTGATTAATAGATTAGTTCCAAAACTCTTTAGACAAGTAGATACATATATCATATATACCCGCCCGTGGATATATACATCTATAAAGTTTCCCCTATATATAAAGCTCACCACCTTATTTAATCAATGTACTACGTAGAAGTGGGATTGGGAATTAGCAACTTGGCTAAACTTTTCCAATTATGTAAAAACTTTTACCTGTTGTATTGACACAAAAAAATTTGGTTGTATACATCAATGGAAACCGGATGGTAGATAGAAAGAGTGAAAGATGCTATGGTTTGTAGGATCTTAATTAATGTAATAATTGAGTATAAACAGATTCTTCCAATGCGTTACTTATGGGTGGTTGATAGAAATAGTGCAAACCTAGCTAGTTTACAGATACGATTTGAAATTTTATGAAATAGTTTAAGTCTAAGCGATAGAAGAGTTGGTGACCCATGGGGCTAAAAAAGTTAGGGTAGAGACTCTAAATGGGTTGAGTAGTACTATATAATTTTATTTACTCAATAATCTATTGAGATAAAACAATCGAAAGGGAATATGTGTTGTGACATATTTGGATTTTTGTGCTCTTTCTTATGCTTATTTTTATGATTTTGACAGAATGGCATGTTACGTACTGAGATGCGAATGTATGTGGGAACGAGCTTATAACGACGTTTCACAACGAGGAATTAATAAATATTAAACTATTTCCTTATTGTTTAACAAAAATAAAAACTCTTAATTTTTTTCAGTATACAAACTTACATATTGCCTACCAAAAAAAAAAAAACTTACATATTTGCCAGATTTCCTGCAATTATATATGATAGGAAAAAGAATAGTAATTAGTTGCTTCTGAGTTTCTCTACCTTATCCTTCATTGATGCAAGTAATTAAGAAACATGTTTTATTTAAAAACTTAATTAAGCTCGTCATTTTTTTTGGGAATGAATATCAACGTTAAATATAATTCGTGTTTTTGGCTTTCGTGGAATTTTGTTTTTTTTCCTCTATATATGTTTTAGGATAAGAATCTTGTTTATGTATTGGAGACTAGAACATGTTACATGTCTACGGTAGAACATATCTGTGTGTGTCTGAATTAGTTCAATATGAATGAATTAGTATTGGAGTTTATCAGAAGAATTATTTTCTTATCAGAAAATCCAGAATAGATGAAATATAATGCAAATATTAATTACTAAAGATCTATGGGACAATTATTCATCATTCTCTCTCTCTCATTCTCGGAAATTGTGAGAAAATATTCCTTCTTCATGTGATTTTATTTTGGATTGTGGCCTTACACAACATGCTTCAAATCACGCAAGGAAGTATAGACGTAGTCAATACTTTTCTTTCTTTTTTTTAACCAAGAGGTTTCCGACTTAAGACCCGTAATTTTTTATATGGACACCATAACATCTTAGTTAGTCATCATTATTCCAGTAGTAAGATTCAAAGCTGAGATTTTAAAGCGCATTTAAACGATCGCCTAGCTAGTAGCTAGTGAAGCTGGGATTTAGTGATATTACTTTGCTCTTGTTTATATATCCTAATACTGTAATACTTCAAAATACATGCATACACAGTATTTTTGTGTACATATTAATTATCATCATTTCAAATACTACTATATAATATATTACAGAGTTCATATGCTCATTTGCATATCCAAGGTTAATCATATCGAAAACTTCTCAAGCCTCAAGTTTTTACATACACATACTACTCGATACTTCCTTTAGATTTTTCAAATTTTCAAGTGTTTTTTTTTCTTACAATTTATCCCAAAAAAACAACAGGAATAAAACCCAAAAATCTGTATACATCAGTACATTTTAGAGACACAAAACCAAGGAAAGATAAATCCAAGTAACACACATACACATACACATACATACACCCATATGAAATGTGTTTTTTTCTTTTTGGCTCACCGTATGAAATATTTCTATTTATATATATATTTCCCCTTACCTTTGTTTTGGTAGAGAGATTCATCGGTCCATCAATCAATTTCCCTTTGGTGGATCGATCCCTAGCCTAAGCTCAAGATCTAAATCCTCAAGGCGATCACCCTTGTGTTTGCTCTCCTCGTTTCTTGTAATTATGTCACTCTTACAAGATAAACTTGAAATGAGAACTGACTGCTGCGACGGACTCTCATGTCTTCGTCGTCTTCTCTTACGGATATCACCCCTACCGATCTCTTCATCGCTACCGTGAGCAGTAATCGGAAAACTTTGGTGGATGACCAGATTCATACTCACCGAGAGATCAGTGGTGTTTCCAAGACTAATTTTTGCTTTATGCCCGATTTTCGGCACATCACTCTCAGTCTTTCTCTTCTTTTCTCCTTCCGTAGCCGGAATTTCATATAGATCACAACGCTTTTGCTCCACAAAAGTACTCGGGAACGACCATGGGGAAGAAGAGGGAATCTTTTTAGAGTTCTTGGAAGGTTCTACAACGAAATAAGGAGGGGAAGAAGAAGAAGTTTTTTGCTTTCCAGGTGAACCAGAAGAAACCCTAGAAGGAGTCAAATATGGTAAAGAAGAAGAAGAAGAAAGATCAATAACACAAGAGTGTTGAGTCTTAAAATAATTAGGTTTGGAGTTAAAAACCAAAGTATAGCTAGAGGTCTCATGAATATTATCGTTATCTTTATGAGATGGATACTCCGGAGACGAAGGATATTTGGGGAATAAGTATTGGTCGTCGGCTTGCTTAAGCCGTGCTCTGTCTCTTCGGTGAACGTTCATGTGGCCACCGAGGGCTTGAGCCGATTTAAACTCTCTCCGGCAGAAGCTACACGTGTAAGATCTAGGCGGCCACAAAGATCCGGCTGCATCGTCTTCCGCAAAGGCCAGCTCTTCCCACGATGACTCTTTGTTGCTTGTCTTGGGGATCCAGAAGCCACCAGGTTTCTCCATTGTAGATGAACAATTTAGAAGCTGACGACAAACCCTAGAATAAACTTTTTTCTTCCTTTTTTTCTTGGGTGGTTAGAGGAACCCTAGATGATTAATATTAGGTGATGGATTACGGAAAAGATCAAGAATGGTGTAATGAAAATAAGGGAGGTCAAGATGTTATAAAAAGAAATTAAAATCAAAACGAGTGGAGGTTTTTTAGCGATCAAAGGGGTTCTTTTAAATTAATTAATTGGACCGTAGGGATTTTATGAAGAAAAAAGATGATACGAACTTTGGATTTTAGTTAAAGTTAGCTGACTAATCTAAAATCTTTTATGTTTGCTTGTTCCAAGTGGCTACCCGCAAGTGAACGTATACTATTTTTTGAAACTTTGTATAATATTATTCTTTTGAATCTACAGTAATTATAGTATTGTAATGTAGTACGTATATATGGTTTTAAATAGGGAATCTTGCAAAATGTACCACTTTTTGAAAAGTGGCTTTCAAAATCTATCACAATTGAAAAGAGTTTTCAAAATCTACTACATTTCATTGCCACATGCAAATTGTGGATGAAATTGTCCTTGATGGTGATAGACTGGTGTGTCAGATAAAAGGGACAGACTGGTGTGTCAAATAAAGAGACAGACTGGTGTGTCAGATAAAAGGACAAGTTGCAATAAATGTTGCACGTTTACAATTGCATATAATTTTATTTAAATAATATGTTATATAGGGACAAGTTCAGATCGAATGAGTAATATAATTAGATCGGGAACAAATTTAGATAGAATGAGTAATAGAATTAGATCGAGGACAAGTTCAGATCGAATGGGTAATAGAATTAGATCGGGGACAAGTTCATATCGAATGAGTAATAGTACTCAGGGACAACTGGATCATTTTGTTATTTTGCAATAGAAAGAAAAAAAATTCAATAATCCGGGAAGGTGAAGACAATAATGCTCAACTAATCGGGGACAAGTTCAGATCAAATGAGTAATAGAATTAGATCGGAGACAAGTTCATATCGAATGAGTAATAGAATTAGATAGGAGACAAGTTCAGATCGAATGAGTAATAGAATTCGATTGAGGACAAGTTCATATCGAATGAGTAATAGGATGAGTAATAGTACTCGGGGACAACTGGATCATTTTTTATTTTGCAATAGAAGGAAAATAATTCAATAATCCGGGTAGGTGAAGACAATAATGCTCAACTAATCTATGGACCAAAATAGATGACCAAAATAGATGGTGAAAAATCTAAATAAAATTCGAAACCCTTAAATGAGAACTATTGGTGGACAATATGTGGGATCCATGATAATATAAAGATGATGAAATCGGAGACAAGATCTAGACGCAATAGAGAATTTCCAATCGGAGACAAGATCTGGAGACAAAAACGAAAGTTAATTGTATAGTCTCAAGAGATATAATGTTTTTTTGGTTAAAGTGCACGTGTTTCGAGGGAAAAAGAGATAAATAGGGAAGCTAATGTTGTAGGAAAAATAAATAGGGAGGAGAGATAAATAGGAAGGAAAGATAAATTGGGAAGATAAATAGGGAGGACAAATTAGTAATTCAAATACTAAATGTGGTATGAGTTGAAAGAATAGAAAGAATGTGGTAGATTTTGAAAGGAATTGGGAATAAGTGGTAGATTTTGTAGTTTTTCATTATAAATATATATTATATATATATTAAACCAAATGTCCTCACGGTAAAATGGATTAAATATATTTTTTTGTTGTCAAATGAAATATCATTTCAAGAATTTAGTTTATTAGAAATATTTTATTAAATGAAACAATAGTTTATTATTAAACTAAATTGTTTCATTTAACTAAAACACTTTATATGATGGTATTTCATCCCTGATTTTTGTGATTATGGGTATGTTATTAACTTTAGAACATGCAAAACAAGAGAATTCATGGGACTGAAAAGTCTTAGACTATCCTCAACGAGGGGATATTAAATTGGGATTTTTTAGAATTGTTTAATATTGATTTTGAAAAAATAGATTTTGTCGCCGAAAAAAAAAAGTCGAAGAAAGAGAGAGAAACAACAGCTTTTTTTTGTTGCCAAAGATAATACAGCGAGACTTTGTTTTCCTATCTTAGCAAAAAGCTTCAACCAATCTAATTGCACCACGTCATCGAGTCTTATGGGCTCTATCAACTCCCATTTTAGAAGCGCTTCTTTATCTGTTAGACTGTTTTTGATTATTTTATGATCCAAAAATAATAAGAGCCCATGATAAGAATTGTTAGGAAGTGCGGTTGAGGATGGTCTTATATATTGGTTTTAAATTGATGACCATATAAATTCTCATTAATCTTTTGTGTCATTGTTCAACAGGAGTGTCCTAAACTGTCATATCAAAGTATCAAATTCAGTGAGCTCTAGGCTTAGCGCTATATTTGTTACATCAAATTTCATTTTCGTAAGTAAAATGCTTTTTAGAACAAAAACAAGACAGTAATTTATGTCTATCTTCGTTGTAAATTTGTAATATATAATATTTAATGAATTACAATAAATGGTAAAACTAATTCTGATAAAATACTGCAAACTACTTCATAATCGCACTCAATGGAAAATAGGAAAAAAATGAATTTCTAATTCGTAGGAATTTTTTTTTTCTACTTTGTTATTCTGTTTATCGGTAAGGATGAGGACAACACGACCAAGCGAGGTTTTGGGCTTTAAACAATCAAGGCCCATATGAACACAAATTATAGAGTTTAGTTATCCACTAAGAGCATCCACAATGGTGCATGTGTAAGTGTGGGTGTGAGTGGCAGTGCTGGCCCGAAAGACATGCCACCCAAGCCACCGTTTAGGGCACCACATTTTTTTTTTTTTTAAGGTTTTTTTTTTTTTGGAAAAAAGGCCCAATTTTAGGAAAAAAAAAAAAGAATTAAGCCCATAAAATGAAAATATTTGGTAGAAACTAAAGCCTTTTCGAAAAAAATAAATAAAATAGGGCCCAAACAATTAAATTTGAATGTAATAATATTCAAAATATCATTATTTTGTATAATTTACTAAAAATAGGTCAAAAAAAAATTTTTAACCCTAAAACTTATAAATATATTGGGCCTCATTTTATTTTTCGTGTAGGGCCTCACAAATGCTCGGACCGGCACTGGTGAGTGGTGATATATTAATAAAATAATGTCACCAACCATCAATGCAGCTAATTTCCCTTGTGCTATAGGAGCAATGAGAAGCTTGTACAGCTCTAAAATGAGTGGAGGAAACAACTACTTTAGTATTCTCACCTGTATCCACCAAACAAATTCTGCCACGTCGCTTCTACATCCAGATGTAAACTTACACCCGTGTTTTGTGTCTTAGCCGAAATTTGCATTATTTCTCATTTGTTTATTACTAACACCCGAGGCTTGATTGCTCCACTGCGTTTGGTCTAAAAACCTAGTTCTAAGGAGATTATTGCCTTGAGAACAGAATGACTTAACTCTCAATGAACAAGCAAACAAGAAGTTCAATATTTTTCTTGTCGAACTTTTTGCCTTCGTATCTTTACAATAAAACTCATTATAAATAATTTTTGAGGAAATACAACACCAATAACTCGTAAGAATATACTAGAAAATTGGATTTAAAAAAAAAAAAAAAAAAGTTGGATTTTTTTTTTTGGTAGAAAGAAAGTTGTATTTATTGACATCGATGTTTCTTGTTATAGACATTTAATCTTAGAGGGAAAAAAAAAAGACATTTAATCTTCATTTGTAACATTGAGATAAACACACATGTTCTATTTTTTATCTATTAAATTTTAGGAGAAAATGTTTTAGTAATACAAGAATATAAAAAAGGTATTTTATTTTTCAATTTTACTGTTAACCTTAAAGTCAAGTTCAACCAAATAAAGAATTATAGGATATATATAATCACAGTCATCATACAAAGCAGCTGAAGATAAACATTAAATCAAAACAATAGTCAATCATACTCAATTGGCTTCTTCAATACCAACGGATTTATAAATTCCTCAATAGCTAATAGCTTTTTAATATTTCGGCTCTACCAAAATAGTTTAGTGGGCACAATTCCGTAACCCTCTCTTATTTTATTTACGCCTCAAACAGTCAAACGTCATCATTTAACAAATCTTTTGACATCATACGTTCTTTTCTATAATAATCCAAATACATCCTCCACTTGTAAAAATATACTATGATATACTTCCCATTATTCAAAGATTTTATATCACATTTTTGTTTCGTAAAATCAATTTAATATCTACGATAGTATACTTTATTAACAACATTTGAAAAAGTCTACATAACTGAAAATTTCATAATTCGGTCTAAAAAAATATAGTAATTAGTAAGTGATTTTAGATTGAAGAATTGCAGTCCAGCTGCATACCATCATCAAAAATTGGATGTGGATAAACTTAATTTCAAAAATGTATATTATAGTTAAATATGTGTTTAATAGTTTTGTTGAAGATAAACCCACTGGACCAGCCGTGGTTTTTATATTAGTTTTTTTTTTTTTTTTTTTTTTTTTTTTTTTTTTTTTTGGGTTTTATATTAGTTTCAATGTAGCTTTCAGATTCTTCCTATACCCAAATTTCACATTCAAAGGTTGCTTATCTTTTTAACATTCAAACTCATTTAATATTTAAATACACTCACTAATGACGTGGGAAAACTTATGGATGCAGCAACAAATCACGAGGCGCCACGTGACAATCTTGATCGCTCTATAAAACCAAACCTGCTCTTTTTCTTTGGTCGCTATAGCAAAATTATACTAATAACAAGAGAAATGGAGGGTCTAATTCCGTTAGTATACAAAGCCGTCATGCAAATCCGTTACGGTAACGAGTCGCAGCAACTTTCTTCATCTTACTACGTTCGTCTTCCGGGCGATTCGGGTCGGTTCGGAAGATCCGATTTCGATGTATCGGGTCTCGGATCTTCTTCCAATACGGCGTCATCGTCGACGACCACTACTACGTTTGCTGTTTACACGGGAGTCCAATCACCCGTTTCTCGTCAGGTTGTCACGTGATTCACACGCGCTTCACAAGGAACCTGAAGATGCGTGTGAGGGAAGGGTTCGTGACTTTTGTTTTGTGTGTTTAGTTTTTCTTTATGCGTTAGGCTTGGACCGGTTTAATAAACCTGATGTAATAATTCGGTTTGGGAGATTGATTTTCTCTAAGCGTAGGCTTTCGCCCAAAAGGGTGGTCTCGTGGCATTTGATTTGTGTGTTTCTGTTAATTGTATAAAATTTATATAAATATTTAGTTTACTCTGAACAATTATGTGAAATGATTGTTAATTTTCTTCATTGTTAATAAATTAATAACGTAGGACGTGGAGTAAATGATTTGGGCACAAAAAAAGATTGCCTTTGTGTAAAATCTAAGTATAGAAGAATATTTCAACATGTATTGCTATGTTACTAAACCCTAATACAATTTCTAAAGGGAAAATATAATTACAAATAGAGGAAATACAAGATTTAGTAAATATCTAAAATAATAGGATAATATCCTTAATACGTTGGCAAATAGGTTACAGGTTGTACAATAGCAACACTTGATGAGAAAAGATTAATCCATTTTTTTAGCTTATGTTTCATGGTATATAAAGTTGTAAAAAGGGTTAATTAGGCTACAATATAATTGCCTAGTCTTGGCATTTATATGCAAAAATGATATAATAGCACAATTGTAAGTAAATGGATATTATTCTTTTTTGCCAACTTCGTAAATTTTCTTTCACGCAATTTTCATCATATAAAACAACATAAGACAATCGGAAAAACATACTAATTATAAATAATATTAAAAACATTGCACAATCTATTTCTGTTTATATAGGAGTTTGACAGTTACATATCTTCTAAAATAAATGCCATAATTATGTTATGTTTTCACATGCAAAAGAAAATAAAAACGCACTATTGTTGACTATAAAGAAAACGCCTTTAGTGATTTAATGAAACGTGTCATCTCGCATCGGCCATACGTTTCTTGCATTTTTTGCGGCAGAAACAAAGTACTATTTCTCCGAGTTGCGTAGTTTTCTTTTCTTCTACATCTAGTTTTTTCATATTCATATCACCTTCTCTCATTTTTCTTCTTTCAATAGAATTTTTTAAAAGATGGCAGCTCCAATCCGATTCTTTGAGCTGAACACTGGTGCCCAGTTACCTTGCATCGGTCTAGGAACCTACGCCATGGTCGCCACAACGATCGAACATGCAATTAAGGTACTATTATTACCTTCGGATCAAATTCTTATTATTATGTGACTGATTATAAAATTTCACTTTGATACTTCTCTTGCCGATTTTTTAGATTGGTTACAGGCATATCGACTGTGCTTCGATTTACGGTAACGAGAAAGAGGTAAAATTTGTTATCTACGAGATTTTTTAATTTCTCCCTTTAACCATAGATGTCATTTGGTGATGGAACATTATTATTTCATTCCCTTAAATTTTGACTGCTCATCAAATTTATTCTCTAAAAGAGTGTAAGTTATAGTTTTGAGGGTCATGGTGGAAACAAGAATCTCACATTATTAAGTGTAGCCTCTTTGCTTCTAATGAAATAGTTATATGAATGTTTAGTTTGTGGGATTAAAATGTGTTCTGCTTTCTACCTATTTCCATTTATTAGATTGGTGGTGTGTTGAAGAAGCTGATAGGTGATGGTTTCGTGAAGCGTGAGGAGTTATTTATCACTTCCAAACTCTGGTTTGTGTTCTTTTTCTAACCAAGTTTCTCTCTGTTCTGCACACACACATGTTCATTTTTTTTGTTCTGTAGGAGCAATGATCATTTACCTGAAGATGTGCCTAAGGCATTGGATAAAACATTACAGGACTTACAGATTGACTATGTTGATTTATATCTGGTACCTAACTTAGTAAATAAATCTTGTTTGTGAATTTTTATTTTTTTGGGTATCAATTGTTTTTATGTGTAGTTTCTTCTATTTTGATGTGTCTTTTGCTTTTGTTGAAGATACATTGGCCTGCGAGCTTGAAGAAGGAATCACTTATGCCAACGCCTGAGATGCTCACTAAACCTGACATACCCAGTACATGGAAAGCAATGGAAGCTCTCTATGACTCTGGAAAAGCTCGAGCAATCGGTGTAAGCAATTTCTCGTCGAAGAAGCTCATAGATCTTCTTAACGTGGCACGTGTAGCCCCGGCTGTTAACCAAGTTGAATGTCACCCAGTTTGGCAGCAACAAGGTCTTCATGAGCTATGCAAATCCAAAGGAGTTCACTTATCCGTGGGTATACATACACATTCTGAATTTACTATGTTTGTGCAAGTATGAATTAACGAAGATGCCGTTATATGTTTTGGATTGATGATAGGGTTACTCTCCTTTGGGTTCCCAAAGTAAGGGAGAAGTCAGGCTAAAGGTTCTTCAAAACCCGATTGTTGCCGAGGTTGCTGAGAAACTTGGAAAGACCACCGCTCAAGTGGCTCTCCGTTGGGGACTCCAAACTGGTCATAGTGTTCTACCAAAGAGCTCGACCGAGGCTAGGCTCCAGGAGAATCTTGATGTTTTTGACTGGTCTATACCTGAAGATCTGTTTGCCAAGTTCTCTAACATTCCCCAGGCAAGTTCGATTCATCTTTTTTTTTCTCGATCAATCAAGTGACAATTTTGGTTTGGTTTCTTGGTCCTTTTTGGTCTTCCCTCCTCTTGACCATCTTGATTTCCTCGACCACATCATGTTGATTATAGATCGTCAAATCATGGCTCTTACCAACCCCTATAAATCTTGCAGGAGAAGTTATGCCGAGGTGCTGAGTTTGCGCATGAGACACACGGCTTCTATAAGACCATTGAGGAGTTGTGGGACGGTGAAATTTGAGATAAGGGCCCTCCTTTCTACTTGTTTAACCATTAAGGATGTGGAAATAAATATGTTATGTTTTTATATAATCCTTCCATGAGAAAACACTAAACACATGGGATTTCATGAAGTTTGGCAAATGTTGTTACTCTTCAGTCTTCAAGCAATAAAATGTTTTCAACTAGTTACAAATTCAACATAACAGAGTTAGTCGAAGCGTCGAACCTAAGATTATATCCTTAGTACGCGTTGAGAGTTTTCTACATACCACAAAAAAAATCATGTATGATATGAAATCTAGAATCCCAAACCTTGGAAACATGTATAAATTTTGAATTTTGATCTTTCAAAACTTGGGGATTGCTTCTTCTTCTTCTTCTTTTTCCTTTTTGTTTTTTATGTTTTTTTTTTTTTGGTTTTGTAATCTGCTTACTGAATGAACTCATATAAACTCATACAAAATATAAAGTCATCTACAATTTTTTTTTTGTCGTAAAACCACATAACTGTTTCTTATCACAAATGCTTTTGAATAACAAATCACAAAGTATAGTATTCTAATATTGCTACAATATTATGACACATATAAAACCTTTATCATGATATGAAAAGAATTATAAAACTCCAAAAAAAAAAAGGTAAAAAAATCATGTACAAATTCAAATTGTCTTGGTTGTTTGAGAGTGCTGATACTTTGTGAGGACACAAAAAAAGTGTCAGTCACATTCGAGATTAGCAAAGAGGGAATTAAGATACGTCCACCGTCCATTGGTCCATGTAATGATTAATATCTGACGTGGCCTTTACTAACTAAGAAAGAACTATTAAAAAAGAAAAAATCAATTTGGCCACGAATCTCCCGCCTCTGTCGCTCTCACTTCTTCTCACCCTTTAATAGCTAGTGCAGTGTGCGTTGAACAACCACCACCACATCTTATAATGGCAAATGCGATCACATTCTTCGAGCTCAACACCGGCGCTAAGTTCCCGTCGGTGGGTCTTGGAACATGGCAAGCTTCTCCTGGCCTTGTTGGTGATGCAGTCGCCGCCGCTATTAAGGTTCGCCTTTCGTAGTTTAAATCTTATTTGCCTCTGATCTCTTTTAGATTCTTTGGTTTGATGATTCCATACTCTGTTTCAATTGGACCTTTTTTTTGTTATGCTTCAATTAGTTTAATGTTAATCCTAATTGCAGATTGGATATCGTCATATAGATTGCGCTCAGATCTATGGCAACGAAAAAGAGGTAAGAAAATAAAACAGATATTAATTAGCTAAGCTGAAAATTCTATCTTTTTAGTTTGAGTTTTGTGGATCTTGAATTGATCTTTCATTTACCCTTCAATCCTTGACTGTCTTGTTCTGTTTTATTTGTTATCTTGTCGCTTTCCTCTGTTCTGTTTTGTTGTAAGATACTGAAAACTCCTTCTCATGCTCAGATTGGAGCGGTTCTGAAGAAATTGTTTGAAGACAGAGTAGTGAAACGCGACGACTTGTTCATCACCTCCAAACTCTGGTATCTTGTTTCTTTACCTAATCAATTCATGTTCTGTGAATAAGTGTAGCTTTTATTATTCTTGCATTCTCAAATTGTGTATCATCAAAGGTGTACTGATCATGACCCTCAAGATGTACCAGAGGCATTGAACAGAACTCTAAAGGATCTGCAGCTTGACTATGTCGATCTTTATCTGGTAAACATCACTTCCTTGTAACATACTTCTTGTGGAAAAAGATTATTTGCGTAACAGTTTTTTTTTTGTGATCTTGTTGAAGATGCACTGGCCTGCACGGATGAAGAAAGGTTCTGTTGGAATTAAGCCAGAGAACATTTTGCCTGTAGATATTCCTAGCACATGGAAAGCCATGGAAGCACTATACGATTCGGGCAAGGCACGAGCCATAGGTGTAAGCAATTTCTCCACCAAGAAACTAGCTGATCTCTTGGAGTTGGCCCGTGTTCCTCCTGCTGTTAATCAGGTTGAATGTCATCCTTCTTGGCGACAAACTAAGCTACGAGAGTTCTGCAATTCCAAAGGGGTTCACCTTAGTGTAAGCATTTTACACGTCTCACCAAATCCATTTACTATCTACTTATACATTCATTGAATGAATAAATTTTTTGCAGGCATATTCGCCGTTGGGTTCTCCAGGGACAACGTGGCTGAAGAGCGATGTTCTGAAGAACCCGATACTGAATATGGTTGCGGAAAAACTCGGAAAGAGTCCTGCGCAAGTCGCCCTTCGTTGGGGACTCCAAATGGGTCACAGTGTGCTTCCCAAGAGCACCAATGAAGGAAGAATCAAAGAGAACTTTAATGTTTTCGACTGGTCAATACCCGATGACATGTTCGCTAAGTTTTCTGAGATCGAACAGGTATGTTCTTAACATTTCATTGCATAATCCTAGTCGCTCTGCTCTTCCTCGGCTTGATCGCACATTGATAGTTATTTATTTGGATTAAATGCAGGCTAGGTTAGTGAATGGTTCCTTCTTTGTTCATGAGACACTGAGCCCTTATAAGTGTATTGAAGAATTATGGGATGGCGAGATATGATTGTTAGCTGATCTATTTGTTTTGTCAAATAATGGGAGGTTTTTCTCTCTGATGAACTTGTCAGTTTCTTATGGATGTTACAGAAAAAGACATGTCACTGATATATTTATTTACAATCACTTTTTTAAAAAACAAAAAAAAACTGAAAGGATCTATTTATACATTTGCAATGTATTATAGATTTATATAGTCATCTCAGATCAAAAAAATGAATGTGTCAATAAGTTTTTCTTTGGTGAAATATTCCTGAATTTGTTGGTATATATATAACTTGTAACTATGAGACGACATATTCTTCAATCTCACATCGAAACAAAATAAGGCATTTTCAAAATTTATAAGGATCTATGATCATTCAGAATTATTCATTCTTCTCTTTATCTAACCGATTTGAGATGGAACGATGATCATATTAAAAACATATCAATTTATCAACATTTTTGGTGGGTTAAACCAACATATATATACATCAATGACTGAGCAATTAATCTGAAGTTATGCGATTATGTATATGAGAATGAGAACATAACAGATCATGTATGCATGTACCGTAAAACAACATCAAAAATAAAATCAAAACACACCATAAGCCATCAACAAGTAAAAAATCCATCACAAAGAAATTATTATTCATTCGTCATCTCGCCATCAGTCATTGTTGCAACGGCCACCTGGGCTGCTATCGTAAGAGTTGTAGTTGCTGCAGCCATCATGGTGTTAAAGAATCCCGGTTTTTTCTTTTTCGCTTTAGTCGTGCTTGAACTTGGACTGGACTCCGCTTTTGGAGAACCCGAATTCATGTATGGATGATGATTCTGTTGTTGATGTTGATGTTGATGACCATCACCTTGAGGAGGGTATGGCCCAGGCTGATGATTCTGATTCGGATGTTGATGTTGATGACCACCACCTTGAGGAGGGTATGGCTCAGGCTGACCCATGGACTCTGTTTTTTGAGAACCCGGATTCATGTATGGATGATGATTCTGATTCTGATGTTGATGTTGATAACCACCACCTTGAGGAGGGTATGGCTCAGGGTGACCCATATGTGGATAGCCATATGGGATTCCTTGTTCATACTGGTGTGGTGGCGATGGCTGTCCCGCATGTCCATGCAGGCTTCTCTGCTTCGTGGCCGATACATCCGGAGATGAGGCATGATGCATTGGAACGTATGTGCAAAGCGGGTGAGATTCAAAACTGCATTGCCTGCATTTGTAGAACATCCCTTGGATAGAAACTAGGCAAACATAGCACGAGCGTTCGGTCATGTGACCGTTGAACAGGCTAAGCTCATGATCAGGACCGTGACATGAGTTTAAGAGGATTGAAGGACACGTGGCGCAATATTCATGGAGATCATAGTCACAGTCGCTGCACCGGTAGGTCCTGCCTTCACCGTAGAATTTGCAACCATCGCAAGTGTATGTGCCAATACCGTTGACTTGGGTTAAGGGATGGTTATGCGTGAAATGTTGAATCGTGTGCGGTATTGACATCCTTGAGGTTGGTTTGTGGGGAAGCCAAAAGGTTTTTTTGATATTGGGTGCTCTTATCAAAGGAACTGTATCCAAAATATGCAATAAACTTGATACAATTTTTTTTTTTGGTGGGAATAAACTTGATACAAATAGTTATTATTTTAGTTGACTTTGATGGAGTTGAATGATCATAGGGGAAGAATATGTCACTTGTTATATAAATTTTCTGTTACAAATTGTTGATATTATACATGAATTTAAAGTTGATATGTTCTACATAACTGGTTTTTCAATACGGACGTGTCTTCAAGTTTTCAACTAGTATTACGATAATACGATTAGTGTTTATTAAATTTTTAATGAAATATAAATGCAATTTTATGAATGTGTTACCGTAAATTTTATGAAAGCCCATATAAGGCCCAAATATGGGGCTTAACCAAAGTCCATTATTACAAACTCACGTTAAACTCAGTGAAGTCTCAGTGTCGGCTAAAAACAGAGGATCAGTCTCAGTGGTGATTTCAGGTGATAAATCTCGTAGCTTTGATAATGGCAGAGGAAATTAGATTCTTTGAGCTCAACACCGGAGCGAAGATACCATCGGTCGGTCTCGGAACGTGGCAGGCCGATCCTGGTCTAGTCGGAAACGCTGTTGACGCTGCTGTGAAGGTTCGTCTTTTGATTTGCGATTTATTGTGACTTGTTAGTGATCGTATATCTAAATTGATTCTAATACTTATGCAGATTGGCTATCGCCACATTGATTGTGCTCAAATCTATGGCAATGAAAAAGAGGTAAACCAAAAAACTCATCTTTGAGATTGTGGTTCTTGGTCTCTGTATAAGTTTTTTAAAGTTGAATAGGTTCAAGGAAAGTTTCGTTCTTTAGTTCAATTTTGATACTTTTTTCATGCTACTTGATTTTTATTGGGACTTGAAGCAAAAAAGTTATGTTCTTGCTTATGCGTTGTGTTGTGTATCACAATGGGGTTGCTTAAGACTGCACTTTGTTTTATGTCTGTTGCTATTCTATTGATATTATCTCTGCTTTTTTGAATTTAGCAATTAGAGGCTCACCGCTCTCTGTATATTCTTGTGATTACCCAACAATGTGAATGATTTAGTGACTGAAAAGAAACTACATGTCTTCTTCCTCGTGCAGATTGGGTTAGTCCTGAAGAAATTGTTTGATGATGGAGTTGTTAAGCGTGAGGAAATGTTCATCACATCCAAACTCTGGTATTCTGCACCACTGTGGTTTAAATACTTTATAGATTTTGTGTTATCATTTATCAAGTCTATGTAGCTTCTTACCTGGTTACATGCTCAAATGAAAGGTGTACTTATCATGATCCTCAAGAAGTGCCTGAGGCACTTAATAGAACTCTACAGGATCTGCAGCTTGACTACGTCGATCTGTATCTCGTAAGTAATATATTAGAAAACCTTGTTTTGTTTGTCTATGTACTTTTCTCTTCAACATAACTTGCAGCAATCCATTTTGGTACTTTACGTTAGTCGGACTTATAGATGTGGTTTTATCAACCAATATTATCACTGCAATTTTTTTAAGTCTTAAGGCTAGTGTGATATATTGTTCAAACATCTAAATTTTTTTACTTGACTTCTTATGTCGATTTGCGACACCATTTCGATTGACTAACAGATGTGTAATCCTTTTGAAGATTCACTGGCCTGTTAGCCTCAAGAAAGGTTCTACTGGCTTTAAACCAGAGAACATTTTGCCAACTGATATTCCTAGCACATGGAAAGCAATGGAATCACTCTTTGATGCGGGCAAGGCCCGAGCTATTGGTGTCAGCAATTTCTCCTCAAAGAAACTCGCAGATCTTTTGGCGGTGGCTCGCGTCCCTCCTGCTGTTAACCAGGTGGAATGTCACCCTTCATGGCAACAAACTGCCCTCAGGAATTTCTGCAAATCTAAAGGCGTTCACCTCTCAGTATGTAGAAAAAACATGTCTATATCCTTTTATGAAAATCTAACAAAAGATCTCGGAAATTAAACATTAGTTGATATTGTTGTAGGGATACTCTCCGTTGGGTTCTCCAGGGACAACATGGCTAAAGAGCGATGTTTTGAAGAACCCTATTCTTGGTGGTGTTGCTGAGAAGCTCGGCAAGACTCCTGCACAAGTTGCACTACGCTGGGGTCTCGAAATGGGTCAAAGTGTTCTTCCAAAAAGCACACATGAAGACAGGATCAAACAGAACTTCGACGTTTTCAATTGGTCTATACCCAATGACATGTTATCCAAGTTTTCTGAGATTGAACAGGCAAGTGATTTTCTGCACATTGTAGTCCAAATAGGTCAAAGAGCGTTCTTTGTTTTGCTCATACGCTTGGTTTATCAAATATTGAAGACATGTGTTTCAATGTTGCAGGGTAGGTTGGTGCGAGGCATGTCATTTGTTCATGAGACGAGTCCTTATAAGAGTCTTGAAGAACTCTGGGACGGTGAGATATAAGACTCAGCTGATTTGATCTACAGAGATCAAATCATTCACCAATTTGTCATAGATCAGTTTTTAGTAATGCTACTAGTTCTTATGGAGAGGTTCAACAATTGGTTCTGCTACGTTTTCAATATTTTCCTCAGAAGATACATTGATACCCCAATTATATTCAATACCGCAACCATATTGTGAAGTTTGAATGCAAATCATACTAATATGTTGCGCACAATTGAAGATGGTAACACAGTAAATTTATTGCGGATAGCATAACATAACAGAAACAATATAAACAAAGTAAATTTATTGCGGATAGCATAACATAACAGAAACAATATAAACAATGGAGATACAAAACATAATGTCATAACGTAAGAGAGTTGCCATTTTAAAATGAACCTCTACTTGCTTCGGTAGCTTGCTAAGGAGCTATGATATTGCGGATAACCTCAACCGTTATGAACTTCAAGATGCGAAGCATTCTTCTTCTTTTAACGTGATATGGACGCGGTACTTGATCCTGACCTTGATTTGTATCTCCGTTATTGTGTTCACATCCGCATCCATGTTTAGGATTATTATGAGTGCCCGTCGCAGCTGATGCAGAAGAATTAACACACTCCATGTGAACATCTAACCCGCATGGACCACACTTGTACCGCCAAGACTGGATGGCACCACGGCAAACCATGCAGGTGCTGTTTGCTTCCGAGTGGCTCAGCTCTAAGGGATGAGCCGGGTGAGGCACGTGGCGCACGTGCTGAGGCAGCCGTGTGCAGAGTGGATGGACATCGAAATCACAAGCTATGCAACGGTAATAGAGCCCCTCGACTGATTCATCGCAGATGTTGCATAAACGCTCTGGTCCTTCAAAGACTAGCCCGAGCTCGTGTTGTGGATGCATAAAGCTGAGGAGGGTAGTGGGACACGTGGCACAGTATTCGTGAAGATGGTAGTCGCAATTGGCGCAACAGTAGGTCTTACCATAGCCCTCGGTGTTGCAGCCATTGCATATGAAGTCACCAACGGTAACCACCGTTAAGGGATGGATATGTTGGACTTCTTTTGACTCTGGCTTCATCTCGTTGTCTTTTTGTTTTCTTTGGTAATGGTTAGATTTGCGAGAATGGGTAGTGGTATTTAACGAAGCAATATTTACAACATTCCAAACATTGTTTGGGAATTAATAAGTAAAAACTTCTGAATGTGATAGCCCCAAA